CCTCTAAGAGCATACTGTAGTTAATATAAGAAACGAAATGCATGTTCAATAAATGAAAATATACGTGCCAAGATATCACATTTTCCCTACAAGCAATTTCACGTATATATACAGTACCAGGCCATAAGTGAAAATCAGAATTGAGTTTTGTGGCACATAATTTCAAAACTATTTTCTGTAAGCGTGACATGATCACTGCACATGCAACAAATGCAAAACGGAAATTTTTACGGCACAAATTTGTTAAGAAATCATGGTAGAAATGTTAGTCACGATGAAATGTTTTCAGTGATCAAAGGTATATAGTAACTAAGCAAATGATTTATTAGAGTGACACGTGTTATGTACCATACAACAACATTTCAATATGGTTCAATCAATAATCCACATATTATTATTGTTAGGTCCTACTCAAACTTGTGTTTATTTTAAAACAAATTCTGGTAAGAAATGGTATAGAAGACGAAATTCCTTTTTTATAGCACTGTGCTTAATTTGTACTCTAAATACCGCTCAAAGTTTTTTGAAAACACGTGTTTTAATCAAATGGAGAAAGTAAGAATGCTAATTGTAAAATGTACATGTATCTCGGTGTCATATACATCTTCCAATTTTTTTTTTTTTTTTTTTAATAACAGACACTGCTAATCTTAGCACACAGGTGTATACTTACAAAATGCATATATTTAAATATTACGTATATTTTCATGTACCCTTTTTTTTTTTTTTTTTTTTTTTACTGTTTGTGAAAAAACAAGTGATGTACACATGTCGCTGAAAATAAATAAATTACTTCCTTACCTTAATACCAATTCAATATTGAAACACCTATAGATATATATGTCAGGTTTAACAAAAATAAATGAAAAATATATACGTTGTAAAATATACACATATTAGGCCAAAATAAAAAAATAGCTTTGTTTCCCCTAACGCGACCGACCCAATTAAATTGCGCCGACTGAAAAGTTTTTTAAATAAGATTATTCAAATATATATATATTTTTAATTGTTTATCAACTTTATTAAATACAATTTCATCAAAATGCGGTTTTATCAGAACGATTGATTTTGTTCTACTATGATTTTCAAGCGCTTGTTTGAAACAAAATGGTGTAACATGTGGTCACAGAGGGTTATTTCGTTTTATAAAACAACGGCGACGTATCATCCTTATTATACATCTATATCTTTAATTTATTAGAATCCTACACTCTTGAAATACTTCGTTAATAATAATACTTCAATCAAGAGTGTTTCGGTGGTATTTTACAAAAGTATCTGTGTACACATCAATCAATTTCACAATTGTAAATATGTCTGCATATTTCATCCAGATAAATATAACTCAAACTTTGTTTCTTAATTCTGAATTCTTTTAATGAATGGGTTAAATTTCGTGACTAAAGCATTCGATGTGGCATTTTTATCATTTTTAGATATAATTGATTCAATCAAATATTCTTGAAATACTCTTTCCAAAAAGTTTTGAAATCTTTAAAACTGGTCTATGGTACAGCTTGCTGAGACGCCCAGTGTATTTTTCTTTAATTATGCCCGTGAAGATTGGTTGTTTGTTTGCTTTAAATCCCTTTGAGAATTGTTGGGACTACAACATGTAATATTTGCCTGCATGATGGAGGGCTCCAAATTTTGACTTGTACTCGGCACTTATGGCAATTGAGCAGCAAGGGATCTTTTTTAATTCGTGAAAGCATCTACTGCGACACTGGACCTATGGGTTTTTACAGTCTCATTTTAGCGAAATGATCTAGAACCACTGTGCCACGCAAGACCCTTGAAAGAGTATTTTCTCTGTGTAAGCACTGGAAACTGGTAGTAGGTTTGAAAAATCAGATCGATGAGTATTTGAGAATTTTGTCCATTTGGAAATATTCGATTTCAGCAAATTTACACTGCATGCCACGAGATATTTCACAAGATCTATTAAATAATTGTTGCGAACTCATTTACCTTAAAATTTGCTTTTGAGATTGCATCAGTGTGATATACTGTTTAAAAATCTCTTTCTTTTGTACTTTTCTTATTCATAAAGGTATTATTCGATTAAATTTCAGAATGTATTTCAAAGCTGCTGTCAGAAAAAAAAAACCCATTTACCAACCTATACCTACCCAACATGAGATTTTAGGGTCGGGTTAGGGGAAACAAAGATATTTTTAATGATGGCCTTATGCATAGTAGTAGGAAAATCGGAAAACTTCAAAAGAAATTTTGAACAATTCTGAATCATGGTAATCGGGCTTAATTTTACCTCACAATAATTTCTTATCATTGAAATTAATAGTGTAAAAATAAAATTAGGACTCACTTATATTATGGCCATTTATTGTATAAATTATTTGGATACACAGCGCCATTTAATACAGGTACAGTATTCGTACGTGTAAGAGCAGAATCCTAAGGAGTTAGTTTGTGATTTTCGGGGAGTGATTTTAACAGCATGATTTTTTTTTTTTTAAAGGTAAAATATCAGCGACGCAGATGACATTGTGAAAAGTTTTGTGTTTCGACGCTTTTCGACGGGTTTATAGATATGCCTGGAAATTATGCTTCATTTAGTTTTAAATATTTTTTTTATTGATTGGAAACAAGTTCTTACAACTTCCTGAAATATAACAATGTGTCCTGCAAAATAAATAGCTTGAGTATGAAAAGTATCAAATTAATTACACGTTATGCACTTGGGAAATGCGAAAACGTGTCAGCATAACGCACAAGCACGAAAAGAAAATAAAGAATATAATTAAAGAAAATAACAACAATAATAACGGAAATTAGTAATTTAAGAACAAGTAATTCCCATATTGTCTATCAGTCGTCTATACTGCATGTCTAAATAGGCAGGTGTGACACGGTACACAGTCTTTGTGAATTGGAGGGCAAACTGATGATATTTATAAGACGGGGAGATCCAAATGGCATTCTTTAATGTGTCTAATAAAAAAATAAAAGAAATCATCCCTGAATTTTGTCCTTTGAAGCCAAATTTTTAGCTTTAATCCTACCCCGAAATTCAAACATGAGAGTTTGGAGGCTTATTTTCCTGAATTTAAACACTACAGTAAGAACGCTCTTAAAATGTAAATAGATAGAATGATAGAGAGAAATGTAGAGGTTGGGATTCTGCTCATGATATGTGGTGAAGTTCATTCCTTGAGCTGCAGCGCGGATGCAAATACCCATATTGAAACACACATCCATGAACAAAACACAAACGTCTCGACAAACTGGATGTTTTCTAGGCGGTCCGCGCTCAGTGTAAACAAAAACAGCAAGTGCGTGTGACCCGAGTATTTCACTGTTCACAGTTCCTGAGAAGTAAGCCGACGTTTTTACACTCGTCAGTAGCCATGGCCGATACTGCTCCTCCAGCAAAGTCCCCAGCCAAGAAGAAGGCCGCAAAGCCTAAGGTACCTGCTGCACATCCCAAGTACATCGACATGATTAGCGCTGCTGTTGCGTCTCTGAAAGAACGTGGTGGCTCATCTCGACAGGCCATTCTCAAGTACATCATGGCCAACTACAAAGTGGGCAACGATGTTAACTCTATCAACGCCCACCTGAAAATGGCCCTGAAGAGCGGAGTTAAGAAAGGTGCTCTGAAGCAAGCAAAGGGCACAGGCGCTAGTGGCTCCTTCAAACTTGGAGACAAATCCAAGACCGATAAGAAGCCTAAAGCCAAAAAGGTAGCAAAACCCAAGGCAGCCAAGCCCAAGAAGGCCGCCGCCAAGCCCAAGAAGCCTGCGGGAGAGAAGAAGGCCAAGACTCCAAAGAAGAAGGCAGCAGCCAAGAAACCAGCCGGACCCAAGAAAGCCAAGTCCCCCAAGAAAAAGGCAGCCACCAAGTCTCCAAAGAAGGCAGCAGCCAAACCCAAGAAGGCCAAGACCCCCAAGAAGGCAGCGGCCAAGAAAACAAAGACTCCCAAGAAAGCAGCCGCCAAGAAATAAGCAGTCTTCGCATTCCAGGCAGACTGTCTACGCTTAAAAAAAAATTTAAAAAAGCCCTTTTCAGGGCTACCCACATTTTTAGAAAAGATGCCTTTAGAACATTCGTTAACGAAACATTTGCATAATCATGCTTTTCTTTTCCCCGTTTATTTGAAATGCAGAGGTCTGTGTTGAAAAATCTAAACTTATCAAACATCTGAAATATTACAATTTCAATAACAATATATCTTACAAATGCCTACACTGTCTAGTAGGCATAAGCTAGGATTATGTGCTCATGGTAATAATTGTATTGTAGCAGAAATTGGAAATGAATATCAAAAAATGCATGCATGCTCCTGAAACAATAATCTAAATAATAGGGAGGAACAATAAGTGAAATGAATGAGGGGTGTGTGAATTATTTTTAGTTTGTAATGTACATAATATCAGGTCAAGTTTGAATTATCTATGATAGACCATTTTTTTCACACACCCTCTCATACACACACACACACACACCCCCTCAAACACACCCTCACACACTGGCTGTTACAGTGTAATTTCCTTCAATGTTCGGTGTTCAGGACAGAAGTCTTGTTCCATATTTCAGAATTGGTTTCATTTCCTAGCTTTCACGCCACACACAGAATGAAATGGAGCGTACTCTGGTGCGACTGAAATAAATTTCTAAGGCAGTGACTTTTCATGCAAGTGCCCGTGTAAACTGTACATGGTCACAAGATTCTTGAAAGCAAAACCACATGCATACCAGGGCTTATCAAAAAACATCAAATATTTCTACAAAATCGAAGTTTTTGAACAATTTCCTGAAGCTTTGGTTTGACAGGACTTCAAAATTTGATAAACATTTAAGTTCTTGAAATATCTAAAGTCAAAAGTGAGAAACACATACACAGACCTGCCTACCCTTTTCATTGCGAGGGTGTAATTTCAATACTCAATTAGGTGGAATTTCAGAGGTAAAGGCGTAATCCTTTATGTTTCCCTAGTTTGGTGTTTTACAATGATACTGTATTGTCTAAATAA